TGTGTAAATTTCAGCGGTTCGTTTCACCATAGAACTGTATGGTTTCATGAGTGCACGGTGGACGGTGGACTAACTAGTTAATTGTTGTCATAAGCACTTAGGGTAAAACCTAGTTACTCCCCTTTCTCCTTAACAACATTTCCGGTTAATGGCTGCCAATGTAAACAACGATTTGTAAACTTGGAACATTTGAAGTGTTTTTTTTCGACTTTAAGACAGAAAGAATGATGACGGACCGAAATATTGCCAAAGAAAAAGCTGCAAAGTTGTTGAAAAAACAAACTAGCGTGACTTCGTTATCCAGTGCCGAGGTAAAAGCCATTAATCGAGCGAATCAAAATGAGAAATTTGATTCCATCAGTTCTGTTTCTTATTTAGACGAACCACAACCAGACGAATTTCGTCCAACAGTGAGGTATGAAAACTCGTACCACATGCAACCAGCGAAGAAGGTTCCATATGGTCGTATTAAGAATTTGATGAGAGAAGTTTTAGAAGGGTACTTGGCAGACGAAAGATACGAGCCAAATACATGTAAACAAATGACCAAGACAATTTCAGACGTGATAAAGGCAAGAGTAAAGGAGATGGAAATTCCAAGATATAAAATAATCTGTGTAGTTCACATTGGACAGTTACTAGATCAGTCTATGAGAATTGGTAGCCGATGTTTGTGGGATGCAAGTTGTGATACTTTTGCTATGCATGAGTTCAAGAATAGCTCTTTGTATGCCATAGCCTCTGTTTATGGCATTTATTATGAATAAACAAAACCAACTAATATTAATAAGGATCCAAAGCCAGTTTTTCTCCTAAGTTAACGAGGCAAAATAAAGCAGAATGCCAGTTATACAAACTAAAAATGTACCGTACAAAAAAAAATGTTTTTCTAAAACCGGTGCCGGTACACAAAAATTAATTTGAATTTTGAAAAATTAAATTTAGATAGAGCATTCTAATTTTCTAAAAAGAGTTTATCTATATTATCAGATAATATTAATAATACTTCACAATTTTGATTTTCTGAAATTTTGCAATATTCATATCATATAAAATTCATTTGTCATCCATTTGAGAACATTGTTTACTATATAATACCCAGTCTTCTTTATATTTTTATAGATTTTTTATTTATATTTAACATATTGTCAAAAATATATACCTATATCAGAATAATAACCTTATTACTCAATGTCAATGTATTGTTTGTATATAGAGTTCAATATTTGTTAATATTTGTGTTTGTCTATGTGTCAGAAATTCTTGTAATTTGTTTAAACTTGTGCGTGTATTGTATTCTAAATGTGCATTATTGTTTAAAACTAGGTGTTTGACGTTATTATTGTATATCATCTTAATTAATTGATATGATTACACCACATGACCATGATTACCTCTATAAATATGGTTACCTCCCTTACATCCTGCTTGCCTTTATATCTTCTTGTCGAACAAATTATGATGGAAAAATATAAGTTGTCTACAACCTGTTAGTCTATATGTATGTCAGAGGCTGTCTAGAGAGTTAAACTACCATCTAAGACATTGCAAAGTCTGAGCAGACTATGAACTGACTTCATACAAGTTCTTACTTAGAAAAAACAGATTGTAGTAACTAAACGACAGGTAGTTTTGTATAGAACTGAACTATCAAATAATATAATCTATTGTCTGTTAGAGTTATTTAAATCTCTATTTCAATATTCTTTTTTTAATTTTTTTTAAGCATAAAACTATAACCAGGGTAAATAAGTGACAAACCAAAAATTTTCTGTATGCCTTTATATGCTTTTTTAAGTCTTATTAAAATTTTTAAACTGACCGATTGCAGATTATTTACATATCAGGCCTACCTTTGCTTAGATGAAGTAGGGGCCACAGAATTGTGGGAAGCTCACAGGATATTCTAACCTTAATTAAACTGAAAAGGAGTATATGGAGTTCAAAGAACATGTCTCATTTCAATTATGAGTTCTATTACCACTTTCACAAGGAAGTGTTCTTATTAGCCAATAAGATGTCTGGTCCTAAATTCTGTAATGAGTTCTATATACTATTTCAAGAACAATACACTATGAAAGATAAGATTGTCTTATTAATATAGTTGTAATTGAGAGAGAAATACGAGGCTTTATATATCACACCCAAGTTGTTGGTTGTAGACATTCACAAGCGGAGACGAAAATTTCAATCAATATTCAAATCACCAAGAAATAAATGAAAGTTCAAAGACATCGTCTCTGTTCCCAAAAAGGCAGACGAAGACAGATAACGAAATGTGTGCAACTAGTGAACAATTGCCATTATCCGCTTCTTTTTTGATGTCCGATGAATAAACCATCAGATACTACATAACGAAACCTGACCCCAACCCAAGACACCTCAAATTTGCAAGGACATTAAGATTAAAAGTCCTAAGTCCCGACCACTGTGGTGATCGAACCGCGGATCCTAAGTTTGTGATCAAAATAAGCACCAATACCAAAGAAATCCCTTATGAAAGGGTCAGGTGTTACAATTAGACTAGTTTACACTATTAATACCAGTCCACTCTGTTCACTTTTAACGTAGCTCATTAATATTTTATATACTTTGTGATAATTCCCTCATGATCAGGACGATTATATAAAGAGGAAACAATAACCTCTGACTATTAATTATTGATAAAATATATCATCACTGGAACTGACAGAAAAATAGCCATGGAAAATTGTTACAGTGAAAAAGACAGACATAGACTAAAAAATGAAATATTGTCAGGCTATTGGGAAAAAGGTTGACTTTATGTGAACATTGAATCTAAAACCATTTGGAAAAAATAATAAAAACGGACATCCTGTTGAAGTTTTTGGAAGATAAAGATTTTTTGCGGATGTTCATAAAACGGTCAAAAGACATCAGCCGATTCCATTCCTTCATTCCTCTTGTCTTAAGACATTCTTGAGAATTATTGATAAGGCTCTTTATTGTCCCCAATAGATAACCTTGTTTGTTCTTGTAGCTGTAGATCAACAGTCCGTTACATCATAATATACATGTACACTTTATATAATTTTATCACAGGCTTTTATAATTCTTATCTGGCGGAAATTAACAACTAGTCTCGAATGGTTCGTTTGACTAATTAATGCTTTTGTTCTGTAGAATTGACCCCGCCCTTCCCAACTCATTTCTTGTCATCCCAGGAATGCGTTTTTATCACTCCGGTCATCACATTCCCAGAAAAGAGGATGCAGTTAAAATTCGGCGCACAAAACATTGCTTAAATAGTGGTTGATTTAGTGTTTGTTTAGACAAAGTGGTCAACGTTGGTGTAACTATTCAACCTACATTTAACAACTATTTTGATATATAATTCAGGACAAGCCTTTTACAATCAACTTCTAAAAATAATTAAAACGTTTTATAGTCACCAGTGTTTATTTGATGTAGAAATTAGGACGTTTGAATTTACTTGGAGCTCCAATTGTGATCAAGTGCCAAAAAGTTTTGACATTCTATTTTAGGATAGTTATTGGACTTTCTAGCGGATAACGGGATCGTTTGTTAAATTTTTGAATAATTAAAAAGTGATACGCTGATCGTACAAAGACTTTCATTTGGGAGAAGTGCTGCATTGTGTATTATCAGTTAGTAATAGAAGTAAAGTTCGCACTGTCGCATTCGGAATAAAAAAAAAACAGAATAAAGCAAATTAAAAATTAAACCTATTTTTAATTAAACTAATTAATTGTGTAATTTAAGAAGGTGGAAATCAGAAGTCTAACATCTTGTTAATTTGACCATGTGGTGTTCACTGAGGCTAGTATCAAGTATTCTGATACTTGGATTACATTCTGCTCTCTATGGTAAGATAACAATTGTTTTTGTTTTAGACCGGGAGATTTGCTCAGTGGTTTTTATTAAAGAGGGTGGGGAATGGTCCTCACGGGAGAAAATAGGATGACCCGGCCTTGTCCCCCCTCCCCAAAAAAAAAAATTCCAAATTGTTATCAATTTACATAGTGAAAGAATAGCCTTTGGCCCCCTGAAAATTTTGTGGGCCCTCCACGGACCCCTCACCTTATGTTTCCTAGGAACGCCACTGGTTTTACCCCGTCCCCTTATAAATCCTTTATATTTCGTATTAGGTATTCCCTACAATCTTTAATCGGTGATATTCTTGTTGAAAGGTACGTAAGCTTCTAATTACTATATACGCTTTACAAGAAAGTCGATCTATAAATCAATACTAAAAAGTAGACTCCTATGCATGGAAATGTTTGCGTATATAATATAGTTACAGGTGACATATACCAGTTCCAAACGATACTAAACTTGAAAGGATCTCTAAATAGATGTGCTATTATATTCATCCATCCACTTAACACACCCCTTTACAGTTTTCGAAATGTAAAGAAATATTGTGAATAATTTAGTTTGATTCTAACAGATTTCAATCAAAATTTATTTGAGTTGATCTGAAAATCGATTAGTTCATGTGATAGTGGTCTTAGCAGACAATTTTTCTTTTATAGGATAATTCTCAAATCAAGCAACCTTTAATACAATACTAACCGTGAGAACCATGAAATAATATTTCAAATTCACTGCACGAATGTTACAGTCACCAATCAATTACATATATGAATAACATATTTCCTGTAGAAATGTCCCTGGTTCCAGGCCGTAGTTGTTGCTGACTAACTTCACTCTTTTCATCTATGATCTGCCATTATAATATCAACCATTCAACGATATATAGATCACGTTTAAAAGAAACAAACCGTACCATGTATTTGTATAATTCATTAAAAAAGTCAATTGAAAAAAAAAGAACAGAATTGAATTGCACACTTAAAAAAGGAAAGCTCAAAGTCGAATTTTGAAAATGATGTTTAGCTTTCAAACCATTGCAACTTTCAAGAGTTGACGGTGCTATCATAAAGAGAATAGAGAATCACATATGTTTGGATATCAACAGACTCAGAGTCAAAATCAAAATCAACAAAATACATCCAAAGTAACAAAGATTAGGTATACAATTTAATGATAGCAAAGGCGTAGGAAGGAGATCGGACACTTCCCCTATACCCATTCTCCACGATTCTCTTTTTCTAGATATTTGCCTTTATATCATATTACACAGACATGCTTTCTCAATTCTTTAAAAGAAACCTTTTTTATTGTTGTAAATCATGAATGAAAGACATGTAAAGTCCCACGCAGTAGAAGGATGTATGTCCTGTTATATGAATCGAATCTATTTTATATATTTCCGTTTCTTCTTACACTAAATTGGAAGGCCAAGACGAAATTTGTACTTTTGGAGCATATTTGTCTTCTGTTAAGCAGGCAAAAGGCAAATTACCATTGGGATCTTCAAATTCACTGTATTGAAATGAAACGACAAGTGCTCAGTAACCAACTTGTATATCTGGCAAACCAAAAAGAGCAAAACTGTAGTCTACACAAGTTGAAAACTAATATGAATATTTATGTATTCAATATGTTATAATTGATAAGTGATTGCGATGAAATTGAAATGATCAATAGTTTGAAAACGCGGGTTTGCAACATTATATGTAAGTAACAGCATATGGACCTTAAAGAGACAGGTTACTGAGGTTAGCCATTTTCGGGAGCTGATTTGAGTCTTGAATGTTCGTTGTCTTCAGAAGTACTATAAATATAAGAAAATCGGATAATTCCTCAAAACTACATCAAACTAGGCATTTCGCTTTCTTTTCTGTATATGACATGGTCTCAAGAAAAGACGAGTTTTAACTTTAAAACCCGGATAATCCTGTACATACATGGATTTGAAGGTTCAAATTTCGACGGTTAGCTGCGATCACAGAAAAAATTCTCGTTCGAGACAATGGTACAATTGGTCAAACAATCTGTCCTTTTAATATATTTGTACTTTTTGATTATTTTTCCGAGAAATCTGTGTCTAACAAATGCCCTTAAAAGGTAAAATTTTGAATATATTTTCTGTGAAAATTAAATTATGCAGATAAAATTGTTTACAATATATTTCATAATTATAATATAATTAATGAAAACAGGGTCAGTCTGATGATGTATTAAAAAGAGGTCTCTAGAGGTCAATTTGGGCAGAGTTTGTTATTGTAACTATCGCTTGACATTTTTAAAATTCCGTTCTGAATTTATTCACAGGCTATTGTTTATCACGTTATCGTCTTTGTAATTTGTGAAATATATTAAATATATGACTGTACTTCAGAAAAAGGCGTTCCATATAGAAGGGAATTCCGATTCCGGCAAACTCGCTATGAAGATTTTCCTTAGAGATTGTTTGGCTATAGTTTTGTAGTTCTTGCCAAACAGTCGAAGCTACCAAATAAAGGGTGGGTTTTAAAAGCCTGCGCATACCGGAGTGAAAAAAAAGGCGCTAAAATGAGCATTGTTAAATTTAAGGATCGTAGATTTTCATACTATAAAACGAAACTATTCAATTTGACGGAATTTTTGTTGACGTCAATATTATGGAATCAAAATTATTTTAAAAATGAAACGAAACAAATTAATATTTCTTTTCTTGCTTTGAGATATTTTCCTTCTTATTTTCTGATTCAATTCGTGTTTAAAATATAAAGAATTTTTAGCTGTAGTATTGTAGGTTGCAATGAAGGGTATGATTTGGTTGTCATATTGGATATGGCCGTTAATAGGTATGACTGTTAGTTGGTCTATCCAAAAACTTTCCCTTTGCAATCGCTTGGTTTTTGGTTTGATCAATGTTGATACAGGTACTTTTTCTATAGGCATAAGAAGAAGATCTTCAATGGAATGATTGGGTAAATTGAAATGATTCGCAATCGGTCTATCTTTCTTATGGAGTATATCGAAGCGATGACTGCTAAGAGTACGCAACGCGCTTTGAGTTTCGCCAACATATTGAACGTTACATTTTTTACAAGAAATTAGGTATATAATTTTTTTAATGATGCAAGAAAGTACTTCCGTAAGTTCGAAAATTTTACCGTTTTTCCTGTTTTCGAAATAGTGAGATACACCTAGAACCTCCACATGGAACAGAACCGAAACCGTTGGGGAAGGGGGGTCATGTTTCTTTTCAATGTTAGATGGGGATGAGGAGAAAATATCCCGCCCATAGAAGTACTGGCCGAATAATTACATGTCAGAACTTTTTGCAAGACAAGGCAAGCTCAAAAATAAAGTTGTAGCAATTGAGGTCTTATAAGTAATCCCCTAATAAGTGAAATAGTAGCAAAAGGAAGTCGGGCTGTGAAAGAGGGGTGGGAGGGGGCGGGAGCTTTAATTCAGAAGTAAAGACAGAAGATTTGCAGTTGCCAAGAAGCGGCAAAAGGGTCTTGAATGCCATGTGTCAGCTTAGCTCCTCTCCTTGAAAAGTACTCATCTGAAAAGGATCCCCATTTATGGGCTTTATTTGATCTCATGCTATTGGAGTAATATTTAAAAGTAGGGCCTGGGGCCACAACAGTGCATATGTCTCTTGAAAAGGCCAAGGTTCTTCCGAGTCTGTCATTTAAATACTATTCTTTATATACATGTTATCGAATTCACCCAAATTAAAATGTATACACTATTTAAACGTGATTAAAATAAAAGGATGTTGATAATTGTTTGAATTCCAATCTCAAGGCGTTGACTCTTACACTGATAACAACAATAACGATTGCAGATGATGTAGTCTCCCATCCGGTTACTCACAATCCGACGATCTACACCTCTTATCTGCAGTGCAGTGTTGGGTGTTGTAGATGATTATCTCCTATAGAAACACTGACCAAGGTCACAAAGAAGGAAGATACTTCTTTTACATCAAATATCAATTTGAGTAATAAATATTAAATTGAAATGTATTATAAATGTTCTACGCTGTGTGCAAAGAGAAATAACAAAGTAAATTCTGAAAAAACTGAAATAACACAATGCTTAGGCTACGAATAATCCCCCCCAAAAAAATTGTTTAAAACAAGTAACAGCTGATTACGATTCCCTGAGATAATGCCCTTTAGGTGTCCATTACAGCGATTTAAGAAGTATATTCTAAAGAAACTTCCCGCGGTCTTCAAGAATGATCTTGTCATTGACGAAATTGACTTCAAATTAACTCTTCTCTGCCAAATTTCATAATATCCATCTTCTTGTGATATTGCCAAACATTTTTTTCACGTTGTTTTTTTAATTTGTTCTGCCACAAGGATCCCAAGGGGATTTTCTCTTCTGCTATTTACAAATTATCTACAGTTAAAAGTGTACAGAACCCGGATTTACGAGCATTTGATTACTAACACACAATTTGTTTATTCAAATGAAAGAATTTAAAACTTATAGGTCCAGTGCCTGTGCCTGTCATTAGTACAAAGTTACAACCTTTACTCCCTGGTGAGCAATGAATCGAAATTCCAGAGGGTTGTCTCCCTTTAATGTGAACACCTAATTGCAGTCATTGTTAAAACCCACTGTTTATCTGTAAACTAACCTGGAGGGTTAAAGGTGGTGTAGGTTAAGTATTGTTCTGTGATGTTTAAATACAGATAACACTGTTATTATTTATAATAAAACACTAGAGTTAGAATGTCCTAGATTGTCTTCAGATGACAACCATGGGACTACTTTTCTTCACGTATAAGAATTTTATTGGGTTCTATGAGTCCGAAGCAGTGAGCACAGTGTTATGTTACATGGATTGTACAGAGGTTTTCTAAATTTCTAAGTGTAACGGGGACACTGATAGCATCAATTTGCACCATTCCAATTTTCAATCAATCGCCTGTGATTCCAGCAATTCAACGTCACTAATCGCAAAATATAATATGGCCCTTCGCAATATATGACGAATGGGGCAAATAAATGCAATTAGTGTCCCCGATACAAAAAAAAACAAAATCCCTTTCGTATGTACATGTATTCAGTTTGTTAAAATACGAGTTGCCCTTTTTACGAGACTCAAGACCACGAACCTAAAATATCCAAATACGTGTATAACAAACGTGGTCAATAAATAAAATACCAGATTCGGTTATTGCTTTACTAAATGGACCATAAAAAGCCTTTTTACGTGCATCAGGGATTTTGATTGCTTCTATTTAATTTGAATCATTGTTCCTGTACTATACAGAGATTCCTGAAATTCCACGAATCATAACCGGATATGACGTTTGGTTGACAACAATTAATTTTGTTAATTTCAGGTTCTTTTGTCGATGCAGAGACCATAGGTGTCAAGATTCGTAAGTAGCTTACATAAATCAGGTCTTCATATAGCATTTTACATATTGGGCACTATCACAGTGGCATGGTACAAATGATGCATTTCTTGGTATCATATGTATGATCTTTTACACTTTTTCTTTGAAGGGATATTGTCGTCGACTCTAATACCACATTAGGTATCACGTGCACACTCGCTTGCTCTAACTCAAGTGGACGTAACAAAAGTGTATAATATTATCAGACTATTATTAAAGCAGAAATAACAAATATATAACGAGATCATTTCATTTATAGACTTTTGTAAAATTACAAACAAGCAAGTGGTTTTATTTCCTGCTAAAAAGTAGGTTGAAAAACAAATTACTCCGCCGACAAGATCCTTTCAAAGTACGAATTTCCATTTTCCTCAATAATAGACACTATAGTTCAAGCATCAAGCATGTGAAAATGTTAAAAATCTTTTATATTGTATGAATCATTCTTGAAATAGGCGGAGGAGGCAGGGGCCACTTGGGAGAGGGCACTTTTTTCAAAATTTTCAAAATAAAATTGTCAATTTCAACAACTGCTCAAATACATAATTGGTTTCTTTGGGACAATTTTGGGAAAAAGGGGGAGGGGGGGGGGGGGTGGGCTTGTACCCTCTCCTACCTCCTACGTCTATTATTCTTCATCTTCACAATGTCGTCTGTAATACCTTGACATCATAACATATGACATAAGGTACTGAGCTACTCAGATTTTTTGTCAGGCTATCGTACGTTCCAATCAAATAGCTGCATTTATAAATTTCATTGAAACAAAAAATGCCTTATGATGTCAAGGTAACAGACGGCGTTTCGTAATACCTTGACATTGTGAAGATGACTATCCTTGTGATTTCTTGTTCTTTTATATCTCTTTCTCCATCTCAGCCTATCGGTGTCCAGAAGCTATGTTCTACTGTGAGTATGACGGACAGTGCTATTCTTACAAACATCTATGTGTACCTGGTAAGCCTTTCTATCCTTTAACCATTCGAACGATTTTTAACAGTCGAGAACACATAACAAAACCATAAAGAAAATATACTAGTATGTTAAAACTCATTTCACTATGGTGTTGGTTTGTTGTTATGTATTCTTTAAACCAATCATAAATACATGTAGCATCACAATCACTCCCTCAATATATCTATGTCTCACTTTCATTATTTGACCTTTCTTGTTTAGTGGTAATCATTTTAATTAGAGTAATTGTTGTGATTCCACGAGTTGAAGATGGTAATACGATAAATAGACGCAATAGTCAACCATATAGTAATGTAATATTGTTGCTTTTCGGGAATTCTTCGCGTGTTTGTCCAATTAATGAATAAAGGTGGTGTTTTCCATGACACTAGTTGGATTGGACGAATAAGGGCTACAAAATTGGGCAAACAGCATCATAAATTTTTGAATTCTTTCTAAAAAAAAAGTTGAAACTCGGGGAACAGCCCCTTTTTTTTAGAAACGCTACCGGTACCCACGTAAGGTTTTACTTCGTACACCATGATCATAACTGCTAGACATTCCAATACATTCTAGACGAAACATCAACGCAACCATTTATTACAAATGATCCAGTCGAAGACACGACTGTCCAGCTGGAAGACTCCACGACAGTTGATGAAACTACGGTAGCTGTAGATCTCGATTCAACCACCGACATCAATGGTGAAACAACGCCGCAAGATGATAAAAGTACAGTCTTTGTCACGAAATCCGGTAAGAGAAAGATTACATCCTATCAGAATAGGAAAGATAGCTCGCCAGGTAAGGCAACATCATCCTACTGACAGCTGTGCGATTGGCAAAACGACATCCGTAATAACCATGAGAAATTATACCTTTATTCATACATACCATTATACATGAAGAAAAATACTTAAATATGCACATTGCATATGCCAAAAGACATTTGGAGATTTCTTCTGTTCATTCTGGGTGCTGATTATTCACTACTGCTTGTACCACATTGCAAAACAGCATGATTTGTTATAAGGACACTTCTTGATTATAGTACTCAAAACTGTTTTGAGAACAAGCTTTACCATTTAATGCCATCCGACTTCCAACGCCATGACTCTAGGATCCTTCCGAAAGTATTTGGCCTGTTAAAAAGAGGATACAGCTTCTCAAATATGTTGATTAATGCGTTGTTATTGTCTGTATTTTCTTATTTACAGATTTGGCATCACAACCTTCAACACTGGACCACACCATTGATGATCAAACAGGTCCTGTCACAACAGTATCAGAAGGGTCCAAAGTTTTTGTTGGCAGTACAGAATCAGTCGTTGTAGAAAGCACATTGGTACACGAAACAGCAGAGACAACTCCTTCGGTTGAAGACCCGAAGACCACCAAAGAAATAAAGGCAGTTCCATCGTCTACAGACCAAATGACTTCCGGTGTAACTCTCGGAAGGACGACTGATGAGTCCAGTTCTCCGGTTACCTCGCATTCTCTTCCAACAGTCACTTCAGATCAGTCAACATCCTCGTCCAGTACAAATTTTATCACATCTTCATCAATCAAAGAATCATCATCATCACCAACCGTCGATATTGCTTCATCATCCTCAACAGAAACGACATCATCGCAGACTAGTAGTACCCCAACAACTACTCCCTTACCAACAACCGTCATTCCGTCCAGTAATACTACGGTTGGCGAAGATGATCTAGTACAAACTTCTATTAAACCAACCCAAGCCTCCTCAAACTCTGTGATTTTAGTATTTAAGGGTCTTTTAGCGGTACGTTCACTTTATTTATACAATATTAAAACCCTGCCACTGGTGATCACTGAATTGAAAGTCACCATTTCAGAAAAGTAGTCCACTCCATTCTACACCATATATCTAATTTGCTCATTACTACATAGAATTGTTTTGGTGTAATGGCAGTCTCCTATTGGCCGAATTTATATTTTTGTAAACAATATGTTATTCACAAATACATTCTGAAAAAGATTAAGGAACCGACTTCGCCTATATTACCCCTCTCCAACAACGATTAATGTAACTTTACGAAACATATAATTAGAATGATCATATATTGATATTTGATGTAAATTTTCAGAATCCGTACCATTTTAATGCCACACTCGTGACTGATTTAACCGCCATGTTGAATGAGACATTGGAAATAGCACCAAATCCTTTCATTTTGAGGTTACACCAATTTGGCCCAAAGAACTCCACTATAACGACTGAAGTATCTGCTGTTCAATTTTATACAGACGAGAATTTAAAAACAGGTATGTCTGGTTATCTTAAAACTTAGTCAGAATTTAGTAGCTATCAGTTCAATTGAGACAAATTTAGCGCCGAGTTCGAAACCGATGCTTTTGAAATATAGATTTACACTTGTGTCTGCATATCAAAGCTTTTAAACCTTCAAAACAATTCGAAATAATTCCAATGTCTTTACAGCTAGTTTCCATACCGTGTGTAACGTATCGCTTCAAGTTTTGCAAGTTTTCACGGTGAAATACGATTTTGCCAATGAAATGATTGCTTTAACTAATCGGTTGTGTTTGTTTCTGTTCAAGTTTCGAGAGTGGTTCCATCAACTGAAATCCTGTCTGCCTTATCAGGAAATACCACAGCTGACTGGAAGGTGGGTTCTGGCCATGCTATGGTACTATCTTATAGAATAATGCGTTTCTTTGACTCCTTTCGAATTCTGTAATAGTTTTTCTGTTGATAGTTAAGTAGGTCTGGTGAAAAGCAACCAGTCGACCGATTCCACCTCGGACTTAAAATTGGCGAAGATCCACAAAATTTATCCAGTAATACTCAATGACGTTGCCTGCCTTCATCTGGAGATCTATTGTTCAATAGTAGTACTCCCTTCGAATAGTAATATAGTTCTGATAGAAAGCCTCTAGATGTGCGATTTTACCTATAACAAAAAACATGCGATCCACAAAATTTGTCTAACTATACACATTGTTGCCTGTCTTTCAGCCCAAGGTTCAAAAACTCATTTTCTATTTTTCAGATAGCTGATTTAGAATTTGTGTGTGGATATCCCAGTAAAAATAAGCCCTGTGTCACCCTACCCCTACCATATAAACCTACAGTAGTCACTACCGCTGGTTTATTTGAGAATAATAAAGATCTGTTTATAGCTATATTTGTCTTGGCAAGTCTGTTCCTGTTGATTTTAGTCTTAGGTTTGATTTATTTACGATGCCGACAGAAACGGTGTTCATCTTACGAAACCAATAATGTAAAACTGGTAAGTTTATGTTGTACACTGCTTACTCCACACTCAAAGACCAGTAGAGAGTTTCGCGGAATAATGAGGTAGAGGGGCCAAATATGGGCCACAGAATTGGCAAGGTGGACAATAGGACATCACAAGCAATTCTTCACTCATGCAATGTGATATGAAATTGGGGGAGGGGTAAAGCCGGGCCAGCCTCCCCATTCTAGTACAAACTCCGCTATCACCAACAACACATAGACTGGCTCTGCCAATGAAACATGCTCCTACAAACTTCCAACGCGTCAAAAATAGAGGATTCATCTCAGCGGATGATGATCGTTCGTACGATGGTAGGTTGATACATACATGTACTTTTTCTCTTCAGGAAAAGGCGAAGCTGACCAGCGCTGCAGAAGTCAACCCCGAGATCAACAGTCCTCTCTCTGATAAAGAAATTATGAAAGTTGAAATGGAAACGAGTCTGTCACAGAATGGTGCGCCACCTCTTGATAAAGATGCTGGCTGGATTATTCCCCTTGATCAAATACTGGATAACAGAAAGAACTCTAGTTCAGAGGACACTAAACTCTAATCTGAGGCCTTATTCTCAAAAACTTTACTAGGATAAAATCCAGATTTTAAGAAATACAGTAATCTGATTGGATAATGAAACTAGATTTAAATTCCATTTTAGTGATTGACCAATCAGATGAATGAAAAACTGAAATCGTTAAGTTAAGCTTTTGAGAATAATGACCCTAATAACTAAAATCCTATCATTCATTCGGTCATCAGTATTTAATTAATGTACAGAGGTGAATTGTGCAATCTGATTCAAATACGATAGGAGAAAATATTTGATTCCGGGGCCTGTTCAGTGGTGTTTCTATGAATCATTACGCGGGTCGAGTAGAAGCCACATTCTTGTCAAGGGGTCAACAGGCAATTATTTCATTATGTACAATGTAAAGATATTTGAAAGCATGGGTTATAGGGAGGGAACGCCGCAGTGGCGGTACCAGTGAGGGTACATGCGTTGGAGGGGGGGGGGGGGGGGGGGTG